CAGCCCTGCCCCGGCACGTGTTTCTGCAGGGACACCACACACACCCATACCTGACCGGGCCTGTCAATGCTTGGTCGCGCAGCGTATGGACAATGCTCTGTCGATGCCTGCTAACTTTCATCGTCAATGTTGTTGTATTCATCTCATCAACTGCAATGTCTGTTGTCTACACCCACTGCTAGCCTCGGCATCGGCATTTGCGCACATCACGGACCACACACACTTCCATCTCAAGAACAAGACTGACCACAAACAGCCGGGATCCCTAATGTTTATTACTTTGGCCAGGAAGGCCTCCACAACATTCTGGTCATTGACCTCCTCGGCCCCAGTTTGGAGGACCTGTTCGACCACTGCAACAGAAAGTTCTCCATCAAGACTGTTGTCATGGTAGCCAAGCAGATGGTATGCATGACAACGAATTGACCGTCCTACTCACGTACTTACCTTTTGGCAGCTTTCGCGCGTCCAGACCATCCACGAGAAGAATCTCATCTACCGCGACATCAAGCCCGACAACTTCCTCATCGGTCGCCCTGGCTCCAAGAGCGCCAATGTCATCCATGTGGTCGACTTTGGTATGGCCAAGCAGTACCGTGACCCCAAGACCAAGCAGCATATCCCTTACCGGGAACGCAAGTCTCTGTCCGGTACCGCTCGATACATGAGTATCAACACCCATTTGGGACGCGAACAGTCGCGTCGTGATGATCTCGAGGCCCTCGGCCACGTCTTCATGTACTTCCTGCGCGGCGGACTGCCATGGCAAGGCCTGAAGGCTGCCACCAACAAGCAGAAGTACGAAAAGATTGGAGAGAAGAAGCAGACTACTCCAATCAAGGACCTCTGCGATGGCTTCCCTGGTACGTTGAATATAGCCACGACAAGCTTGTTTCATACTAATGATACACAGAGGAGTTCAACAAGTACCTCAGCTACGTCCGTAACTTGGGCTTCGAGGATACCCCCGACTACGACTACCTCCGGGAGCTCTTTACCCAGGCCCTCAAGAGCACTGGAGAAATTGAGGATGGCGAGTACGATTGGATGAAGTTGAACAATGGCAAGGGCTGGGAGGCGATGAAGTCGCACCCATCCGCTGTTCAAGCCATGCATCACTCCAACGTCAACCCAAACTCGTCCATGGCTGTCAATCTCCAGGGCCAGCAGCACAGGCAGCAGAAGACGCACCTCCCCATCGACCACCACCGCCTAAACGAGCCCCTGCCCAAGCCTGGAGCGACACGCGCTCAGCAAGGAAGAAGCCCAAGAGAGAACATGAACCGTGATTCTCAGATTAAGAGGAAGAGCATGGGTGAGCTCGCACCTCCTGAGGGCGCATCGACACAAGCGCAGTTTCAGCACAGTCAGCAAAACTTGTCACAGAACCGCGCTGCGCCTGCCAGCAGCCCAACTCCTCAACAACCGAGACAGCAGTCTCCCGAGAAGCCGAGCTTCATGCAAAAACTGGCAAACGCGCTATGCTGCGGCGCCAGCAAGTAGTAGTCGCGGCCCTCAAGCTTGGTTTCCTTCCCTTTGCGTTGCATCCTGGAGTCCGTTCTTTGAGCGATAGTATTCCTTCGGTCACGTTTTCTTCCTGTATAGGTATCTTGTAATGATTGATAGACGGGATCGAAAATCTCCTTCCACGGTAATAGTTACGACGACCGATCGACCGAACTGCCTCCCACACGAGCCCGGATCTCTCATCAGCGCCGAAAAAAAACATCACTACCATCTTTTTGTCTTCATGTTCGCGCTCCCGTGTTGCAAGACCACATGACCTGGCGGCCATGCGTTGTGGGAGTGCGAGTGCTTTCGATTGGGCGCTTGCGGCGTTGAGGTGTGCTTGGCGAGGGCTTGCACTTGTGGCATGTCAATTTCTTTATCCAATTTTTTTGTTCTGTTTTTTTGGTACGAGGAAAATATAGCATGTAAAGGAGTCTCTTTTCAAGTCCCACGGCAGTACTGTATTCTTTGTACAGAGCGCGAGCGAAGGTCCGAGACGAAAAGAAACAGACGGAGCGCGCTTTTAGTTCAGGTAGAGTAGTTGAGCAGAACGCAAATAGATCAACTCACCACGCCAAACGGGTGCATTGCCATGGCGCCTCTTTTTATTTTTTGGAGGGCGCTGCTGCACTTGTCCTTGAGCAGCAGCCGGTTAGACAGGTAGATGGTGGCAGCCATCAGAGAGACTTGACACGGTTCTGAAGGGAGCTAAGAGGGGTCGTGATCAGATGGCCTGGAGCTATGGCCTTTTTGCGTATTTGATTGGAAGGTGCCTTAACAGCGGCAATCCATGACTCCATAGCTGTACCAACCTGTAGCGGCAGCAGAGAACCTGGACTACGGCTTGTTCGGCCTTTTTGCCTTGATTTTGGTCGCATTCCCATTTGAATACTTTTGCGCGCACCTTTTTGGGGTTTTTTTATGCCCACCCAACCCGATTTTCTGCCAAATATTGATTTCTCTCACACGTGAGGTACCCGCCGCCGCAGGGTCCAACGCGACTTCCCAACATCGAAATTAAGCTCGTCCACTCAGCCTGGGGCCTGCGATTCCATCAACCGCACCCTCTCCTTTCACCCGCTCATCGACGGACGGCGCCTTGCGATAGTTGCGATGGCGTCGGGACGCGATGTGCGCGATATGCTCGGCCTGCCTGCTGCCGGCGGTGATGCGCCAAAGACAGTAGGTTCAGCAGCACTGGCGGCGCAGACACAGAAGCGGTCAAAGCCTGCGGGAGGGAGCAGGAAGATACGTACGTTTGGCAACTCTTACGTCTTTCCTTGGGAAATCGTCAAAAGGTCGAGACTGACTCTCATTCGACCAGAGGGCGTTGCGCGCGAGGTTGCTGCGCTGTATGGTGAACGGCCGCCGCCCGTCGCCGTCTACGAGGAGAAGAAGGCGTACAGGGCGAAGAGGCAAAGCACAGGGCCGGCAAAGAAATGGTATGTATAGCAAAAGAGAGATGCAAGAGGATAGACTAATCGCGTTGCGCAGGATACAACAGCCCTTTACCAATCCCGCGCGTGCCGATGGCCTTGTCCTGAGGCACTGGCGGCGCAAGCCCACAGCCGCACCGCCTGTACAGGAAGCCGATGACGCGACGATGCACGAAGGCGACGCGACAGAAACCTCGGACACCTATGTCGAAACATGCTCAGACTACGCAAAGTACGACATCAAGGTCGACATGCCCAGCTTCACCGACGAGGAGTACGACCAGTTCCTGCGCAGCGACGACTGGAGCCGCGAAGAGACAGACTACTTGTTTGAGGTCGTCCGAGACTACTCATACCGATGGCCTGTCATATGGGACCGCTACGACTATCAGCCGTCGCGACAGTACGCGCCAGACTTGACAGACAGTGGCGACCAAGCACTCGCGACGATGCCGTTTGCGCCATCAAAAAAGCGATCACTGGAAGACCTCAAGGCACGCTTTTACGACATCTCTGCGAAACTCATGAAGCAGCGCATACCAGAAGTCTCCATGGATGCCGACCAATACAGCCTCTACGAGATGCTCACCAAATTCGATCCCGTCATGGAAAGGAACCGCAAAATGCTGGCTACAGCGCTCATCAACCGCACAATGGACGAGGTCAAGGAGGAGGAGTTCTTACTCACCGAGCTCCAGCGCATCAACATGGCTGCCAACCGTCTCGATGCCGAACGCGAAGAACTCCGGGCACGGCTCGATGCACCACCACAGAACCCACAAGCATCGGCCGGGCTACAGGCTTTTACATCATCACAAGCATTACAAGCTCTCTTCCAACAACTATTTCAACAAGACCGCAGCAAAAAGCGTGCAGCCGGTGGTGGGTCAGGGCCTGGTCGGCTCAGCCTCTCTGCCAACGACATGGTACACACTCCCGGCTCAGCGCAACAACAACTATCCGCCGCAAATCGCCGGCAAAGCATGGCACAGAACCAACAAACACCCGCCCAAACGCCTGTCAAGCATCTCTCTCCACACCAAGAACATCGCTTCAACGTATCAACACACGACCGGCTCACATCAGGTGTTACGTTTGGCTCTGACAAGTTGCTCAAGATGCGACAGGCCAAGAGCAATGTCCAGACGCAAAAGATTGGCCAAATGCTTGCAGCGCTGGGTGTGAGTGACATTGTCCCAATACCCACTAGCAAAGTGGGTGAAGTCTTTGAAGTTTTGGTTACCAAGGTTAGCAAATTGCTCGATGTGCGAAAAGTGCGCGAGAAGGAAGAGGGAGAATGTAAAGTTTTGCTTGCTATGAAAGAACGACGCATGGGCAGTGGAAACGGAAACAACGGCGGCGCCAGCGAGGAAGGCGAGAGCAGACCGAAACAAGAAGTACGCGATTCGCAAGAGACGCCCGGCGCGGATGCTGATGCCGACGGGGATAACGACGATGAAGACGATGTCAACAAGAACTATGGCGACGATGCCGAAGGAGACAACGACGACAACGAAGAAGGCAACGATGCAGAAAATGCCGAGGACGACGCCGAGGGCGAAGAAGATGAAGGTGGTTTCAATGGCGAAGACGCCGATGATGGCGATGTGGATGCCGAAGGCGAGGACGACAGCAAACAACAGTCTCGAGCAACGAGTCACAGCGCGTCTGGCCAAGGGCACAAGAGAAGTGCAAGTGTCTTTTCACAAGGGAGCGAGATGAGCAGCAAACGAGCGAGAAAGTAGAAAGCTTGTTGTTTTCTTTTCGTTGTTGTTGTTGTCGTCGTCGTCTTCATGGGTTGTTGATATTATCCCCCTTTGTGCCTTGAACATTTGCATAGCGTTGGCGTTTGCGGGGGAAATGAATTTAAAGCTACAAGGCTAAGGGAAAGAAATTGGGGGGGTTTCCATGATTCCCATCCATCAGTAAAACGGATACATGGAATTAGGCTATGTCTTCTAAACAAATGTACAAATACCCTCTGCTGCTTATTATTTACAAATCCTATGCTCTTCTGTTTGCATAACTTTTTTTTTTCGTGTCTCGGAGCAATCATCACATCTTCGCCTTGACTTTATCGTCTTTCTCTTCCAACCTCGCAAATATCGGCGTCCTCCGTCCGCCCTTGAACAAGCCCAACATTTCCCTCCCCATCCACGCCTCCCTACTCTTAATCAGTCCCTTTTCCACATCCGCAAACCGCTCCCCCTGGACCCAAACGCCCCTCCCATTCGCCGCCATTCCCTCCCCAATCAACCCGCACACCGCCCTGGCCACCGCATCAGGCGAGTTAATCGGCATACCAGATTTAGCCATTTCGCTAGCACGCTGCTCGGGGGATAAATGGCGCAACTCCGGGTTAGCATTTGCAAGAATGGGGGTGAGCGTTATACCGGGGGCGACGAGCGAAATGGCAATGCGTAATTTGGCGCATTCTTGCTTTAGGGCGCGGACGAGGCCGACGAGGCCGTGTTTGGCAGCGGAATAGAGGGGGGCACCCGCGGAACCGAGGTAGCCTGCTAGACTTGCTGTTAGGACTATGGAGCCCGCGCAGTCGCTGCCATTCTGGCGCAAGTAGTGGATTGCGAGTTTGGTGGTGGAGGCGGCGGCGTTGAGGTCCAGAGTGAGGACTCGGTGGTCGGGCTCGGCTAGGTTGCCCGAGGCGTCGAGGGAAGAGGTGAAGAATTGGTCGGCGTGTTCGGTTATGCCGGCGTTGACGAAGACGGCGTCTATACGGGAGAATCTTTCGTGCGCGGCGGCGAAGGCGGCGCGTTGGGCGGGCCAGGAGGTGATGTCGCAGGTGTGGACGAGGAGGTGCGAGGCCGGGTGCGTGAAGGTTGGGGGTGGGGGGTGCAGGTCTACGAGGACGAGGTTGTGGTGCGGGTTGAGGGTGGAGAGGAGGGTGGCGGTTGCGAGGCCGATTCCCGAAGAGCCGCCTGTTATAAGGATTGTTTTTGGGGTGGAGTTTGGGGATGTGAGAGTGGAGAGGGAGGGTTCGAAGAGGGCCATTGTTGTTACTGTTGGGTGTTGTGGTATGGGATGAGGAATGCTTTGCGATGTAGCGATATGTCAAGTATTTTACATTGCAGTCCTGTTTGAGACAAAGAAGCTAGGAAATAAGGTTTAAAAAAAATGATTGGAAGTGAGTAATTGATTTTATACCGGTAGGCGCATTCGGATTTCGAGGTCCGGACTTGCATCTTGTGCATATACATATGCCGTGATTGGGATCCTTTACCTAGGTAAAAGTCGTATTTGCGGGGCTGTCTTACGATATGCCCATCTGGGCATGTAACCTGAATCATGACAGTCGACGTCGATTCGACTAGGGATATACATGAGGAGTATAGAGCTGTTAGATCAGTATCTGGTAGACTAAAGGCTAGTCAGACGTAAAATCAATGCCTTGTTCATAGAGGCTGGATGGAATTGAACATGGCCTTGGTCGCAAAAGTCCCGGAGCACTATATGGATGCACTTTTGAGAGACTATTATCTCTCCTGATATCCGCAAAAAAACCAAGAAGAAGATGCATAAATTCCCATAGTTGAAAGTATGCATGTAGTCAACTCCAGGTGGTGGGGGTTCAGCACGCCAAACAAAGGAGCGGCGCACGTGTCGACAGTCTAACCGCTTTCGGAACGTACACCTGGAGTTTCTGGAACTCGACACATGCACTTTGAGCTCCGGGATTCCCAAGTGCACAAGCTCACCAACACTCAAACTCCGCGCTACGACCAATCCTTTTTCGCGGGGTGACTCTCGACCTCTCAAAATGTGGAAACCAACAGTCCTGCTCGCTGCTGCCCTGGCGGTTCCGGCACAAGCACTTCACTTCTTCCTGGACGGCGCAGTCCAGAAGTGCTTCTACGAGGAATTGCCCAAGGATACACTGGTTGTTGGTACGGGCTACTCTTTCGCTTTGGTCTTCCAAGACTGCTGGACTTTGGAACAGAGCAAAAGAGCCATAACTAACAATATCAGGCCACTACCACGCTGAGCCCTGGGACGACGCGACCAAGTCCTACCTATCCAAATCCGAAGTCGGCGTCTTCGTAACCGTTGAAGAAACATTCGACGACAACCACCGCATCGTGGCCCAACGAGGCTCTGCCGAAGGCCGCTTCACTTTCAGCGCTGCCGACAGCGGACAGCACAGGATCTGTGTCATTCCCCAGAATGTCCAGGGCGGAGGTGGTTGGTTGAACCAAGGTATCCACGGTACTGTCAGGTTCACCCTCGACATGGCGATTGGAGAGACGAGCAGGATTGAGAGCACGGACAAGGACAAGGTCGAGACGCTGGTGCAGAAGGTCAAGGACTTGAACTCGCGACTACTGGACGTCAGGCGAGAACAGGTCTTCCAGAGAGTACGTCTGACTGCGATCCACCAAACTGAAAATCGGAGACTATATACGTGCAAGTAGGCTAACATGTTATACAGGAGCGCGAGGCCGAATTCCGCGACCAGTCCGAACACACAAACTCGCGCGTCGTCCGCTGGTCAATTATCCAGCTCGTCGTTCTCGGTGTCACTTGCGTCTGGCAACTATCGCATCTGCGCTCCTTCTTCATCAAGCAGAAGCTTACCTAAGAATTCTCGCTCGAAAGAGACACCCCCCCCTTTTCATGCGCATATTTAACGAAGCGGTTGTGGGATCAGGCTGGCGCAGGGGCATATTCCGAAGCAAAATTCATGCGAATGCCGAGGGAGGTTCGGTTTAAAACGTGACTTGTATTGTATGGTGGGCGGGAGGAATACACGGCGTTGAAGAATTGATATTGCTGGGTGTTTAACGTTGGATATTTTGAATCGAGAAGGGCAATTGCAGTATCGTCTTAGTCAGAGTGTATGCCCGTTAGTTGTGGTGTGAGAAGTGGCATATTGTCACTCCCTTTTCTTTTGCAAAGCGGGTTGCATGATTATGTATGCTGAATGGGAATTGGAGAGTCATGACGGATATGTTATGTCACCAATGGAGTATGCTTGCAACACTGTTGATTTTAAAGTCGATATTGCACTGTGAATTTGGCCTCTTTCCTTCCAAGCACTGCTCTACAAGGAAATGCTGTATCGCACTCGCTTCTTTGGGTAACCAAGCATAGGAGCATGTTTTAGTGTAATGCCATCCGTTCTGATGTCCTTTCCCCATTTATAACCAGACCCTTGAAGAGCAGGTATTCTTGTTAACCTGTGATATGAAGTGATTGGTGGAGTTTTTGAACACGGAACTTTCTTGCTTAGGGAGGTTTATGGAAAGGGGAGGGATGAGCAGAGGTGAAGAAGTACACGGGTTTAATGCGGACCAAGGCAATGAGCTGTCATATTGTGCACGATTGTATGAGGGTACTATGAAATAATTGAGAATGGGCAAGAGTGGGGACCCTTCTTTGGCAGACATTGTTGTTTGGGTTCTTGGGATAGGTTGGGTACTACATTAGTTTTTTTTTTTAATCAGACTTCCTCTCTAGACCACGGGTTACTGGAGGAGTGCATCGGAATACTCTGCTCAACGGCGGTTAGCTGTTTTGCTGACGATTGAAGGATAGAAATAACGAGTCCAGACTTTGCTTCATCACGATATTCTGGAGCGTGCTCTTCGATGGTGCGATGGCATCCATTTGGGCAGTACGATGCGCTGTGATGTTAAATTGTTAAGGCGGTGGCAAGATAGATTCGATGTATCAGGTCATGTAGAGGTTCAGGTAATATATAGCATGTTTGTAGTAGTTAGGGATAGTGTGAAAGGGTGTGTCTTGGACTGTTTCGACTTTTTTTTCCCGAAAGAATGTAATGAAAAGATAGCTTTGCCTCTTGCAAATTATGCGCGAGCATATTTGTTGCATCTGCCCGCGGGTTATTACGTTAAAAAGGGTCTCTCTCTCTCTCTCTCTCTCTCTCAAATAACAGTAGAGGAGTAAAATGTACAAACCTACATGTGAAAAATCGTTTAACGTAAGAGAGATGCAGCTATCCCCACGCCCCAGGATTCGCGCATAAGAAACGACTTCATGGACATGGAAGAGACATCACGAGACACAAACTCATCCATGTGCATATGGAGAGTGATAGCTGATATCTAATCATCACTTCAGCATTGTCAAAGGAACGTACCTATATTTCTAATTCATGATGTGGCAATCAGCAAAGAAACTCAACATTGAGGATGGATTTTTCTTACGAAGCACCTTACACTACCACATTGGAAGTCATTCATGCAGAAGAGTTTTAGAAAAGATCAGGAGATATCGCTCCTAACGAGGTGACGAGGTTAATGACTAACTAAACATTTGTCAGAGAGGGGTGGTCAGCCGAGTGCATGACAATCACGTGATGTGGACATACTGCCTAGATAGCACTACTGGTGACGACAGGGTGTAATGTTGGTTGCAGCAACCAAGGCAACGAGTGTAAGAGATAGATTCAGTACTAATTATTCTGTGGTCGACTCTTGCAGATCCTTTTCATACCCACAGATCCACTCCACAAGAGTAAAATTCCTTTCTTAGTAACCACCCCACATCATCACCAGAGCATCACGCCGTAGTATCTCCACGCAAAACCTACTGGGTTTACTTACCGAGTTCGGACTAAATTAGAGCGATATGTATGGGTCTTACGACCACGTGTAGTACCGAGGTTCAGTGGGCTCGTGCGAGCCAAAGTAAGCAATACACCACAGCCACAGCGGGACCTAGAAGAATACGATTAGGGTTTTGATAGTGTGACTGCGAGAGTCTATGAAAAGACATGGTAATTCGTAGCGAGCGGGGCGGGTGCGTCCAACGTGCATGCCCCTTTTTGTGCTGATGGGAAAGACGTGCTGATGGGAATCTAGAAGTAGATGTGTGTATGTGGATATGTCCATGTGATTGCTTTGGTAGCGATACTTTTAGTAACGGGATCACGGCACCTGTTTCCATACTGTGTCTTAGTTAACGCTGACTCGATAGAGTTACGTACCCGGCATGTTGAGGTACACTCATCAACTAGTCGACACTGTGCCGTTGAAATCAGAAAACGAAATCCGTATCAAATACGAAAAGTCTATCCACACGAGGACCAGATGACACAAAATCGATACAGTCGATGCCGATCTAGATGTATCGAATTCGTAAAAAAAAAGGGCACCAATAGTGCCTTACTCCAGTCTAGAATAGCACTGACAGTTCGGCCCCCAACCATGTCCGACATTTGGGGGCGAAATCTCGGAAACCAAGCTCTTAGAGCTGAGCTGACATGCTCACCATGTGGAGTTTGAACGATTGATCACAGATTAGCGAGAGAGACTAGGTCTGGAGGCTGGAAAAAGGGACAATGCGTAAACGGGTATGGTGCACGTGCGCATTCGCCCGTGGATTCTGCCGTTAGGTTGGAACTGGTGTTTTGCGGAAAAGATTTTTTTCCCTACTACTGCAGCACCACCATGACGCTTACTGATGCACCAAGAAGAGTGCATTGCCCAGGCTGCTGAGCAAAAGCATGTTGGAACAAGGTTCATCGGGATTTCGTACGAAAAGAAAGTTTATGCGAGGGTTTGTGCTGCATACTTACGTCGGCCGGCGGTTCCTGGCATGAGGCCGAAGTGCTTTGTCAAGGCTGACAGAACATTGTTGCACGCGGGTGTATGCTACCGCACGGACATAACCAGTGTCAGCCGAAAGGTGCTTGGCAGGGTGCGATCGGCCCAATATCGCTTCAAACACGGCCTGGGAGGGGGATGCCGACGGGCCCAGGGAAGCGGCAGAACCCAATGTATTGCTTTACAAATGTTACTATTAGAGTAAGAGCCAGATAATAGGCAAAACGCAAATCGGTACTGGCGACGTAACCATAGTCGTTCGACCCCACCCACCCTGCTAGGCTCCAATTGGAAGCCCGGAAGCCTTCTCCGCATTTCAACAATGGTGTCGCAGATACCCACTGAATTGAGTTGAGTCTTGTTGCAGCAAAAGAAGCCAAACGTGGTTATCATGCGTCGGTCGCATGGAGTAAGGGGGGGGAGAGAGGGGGGATTGAGTTGGGGTATGACGTTGAGGGCACAATGCCCATCGTGACCCAAACGGGTTTGGTCCGCAGACGTAATTAATAGTGTTAGTGTTACACTGCTAAAAGTTATTGGAAGCCCAATGGCAGCATTGGGTTGCAGTACGCTGGGTTGACGTTGCCCTGCATATGCTGGTTTAATGATTCTGGAATAAGACTGCGTGATTGATAAGACGACAGGAATACGAAAGATCGGGCAATGTGGGTGTAGCAAGTAGAGATAGTATCAGCACGTAAGGTGTCAGGGTATGAGGGGCCGGCGTGTCACGGCAGCGATGTGAGTGGAGAGCGGCACAAACACGCGATTTGGCGTCATGATCGGCATACAAGCCGCCGTACAAAGGACATGTTGAACGGCAGAAACTTGGACGAAATCAAGTTGACGCAGGGTCTCATCATCCCATATTCGCGGATTGGCGGGACGATGAACTAAGGGGTATGGCGCCCGCACAACCGTTTGTGTTGGCGGATGGATGACAGCGTTGTGGGGCCTCCGACAGGTGATTTGCACCCTGATATCCAGTCAGGGTAGCAGTGATTGTCTATAGTAAAGAAGAAAGGAAAAGATTCTCACTTGGCAGAGGACGATAGGGTTCAAAACAAAAATAGAATAATGAAGCAAAGCTGCTCTACTGCAGCTCGCACTCGTGAAGACACACAGTTGTGCGGATGCGGATCTTGGTCGGAAATGGAAGCAGAACTCGGGGATAGTGACGTCATGGCTGATTGCAAGCGAGCGACTAATGCTCATGCCCAAGCGACAGAGGAAACAGCAACGCCGAAGCGACCGGAAGACAAAGGGGATTTTCCTGCTGATTCTGGAGTGTTGTGTGGGTGAAAAGCATAAGCAAAAAATAATGCATGTATTACATACCGATGTATGCACTGTACTAGAACTAGTACCTTCGGTCCAAGTACTCCGCGGAAATCTGTGTGTCGCGTGTGGCCGTGCATCCGCTTTGAGATGTGGCTAGTGGCTTCCATCGGCGAATCGAAGGCCCAGATGTTCGGAGAGGCCGGGGTTGCAGCAGCGTTAAAGCGTCCGTGCATACGATAGGGCTGCACTGCCACATGGAAGTGTAATGGACCCTGCATATTCACGGATCTTGTCCGTCTATGCGATGCCACGTCGACTGGATGAGATGCTTGCTATGCCTGTAGAAACTATCCTTCAGCCTCAAAGGTTCGGAAGAAGTCTCGGTAAAAAAATCTTCCTTGCGTGGTGTTGTGGTGTGATGTTGTTTGTTGCCTGTCGCCCCGGCGGCTCCGTGGTAGACCAAGGATACTGCCAATGCCCAAGCGGAACCACTTGTTCCAGCTGCGGGTTATCTGCGGGTTGAAGGGGGACATGCAGCTGATCTTGTAATACAGAGACCTATCGCTAGTAGCATGTGAAAGACCCAGCTGCGTGGGTGTGGCTGTGTCTCCAGTCTGAGCAAAGCATCCGGGTGATGTGCATCTCGGTTGCCAGTGCCAGCAACGTGGTGCGGGAACCGTTTGGCCACCACAGATCCAGCTATCAATAGTACAGGGCAAAATATGGGGTAGGCTATTGACGGATAAGTTCTCGCATGATACCACGTGGCCTTTTGTCGTTTTACGCGGCCTTGTCGACTAGTTCTGTATGTACGAGCTGAGCATGCCGTGACAATTCACCCCCTAAACTGTCCTGATGGCAATTGTGAGTCACATGTCTACGCATGTGATCGATATCAATACAAGCGGAGACAGTGGTGTGGCTAGTGCATTCGTGTACTCGACACGTTCGTCGCACTGTCGCCTATACCGCGCGCATCAAAACGAAGCTGCTCCGCCCAGTCAAAGCCGGCCATTGTCCGTGTCCCGACGAGGAGCAGCATCAGCTGCCTGTTGAGGTTGCTACGAGCGTATCACGATAGGGGCAGGCTTGACCATCGGATGTTGCACGCTGCTGTGCTCTGCTCTTTTGGGAAAAATAATACAGGCGGCTGCTTACCAAATCGACGGCCAGCGCGACGACAAGGGAGAGTTTGGTCTAGTACCAGGTGTTGAGTACTAGGCTGAGAGGTGTGGGCTCTCAGGCACGTTGTGGCATGCCTGTACAGATCCTTCGGACGTGCGTAGGCGAATCCTCGGTATTGAAAGCAGCAGCAGTAGTGGGTAAGCGTAGTCGTCTCGGGTGCTACCCGAACCCAGTCTAAAAAATTTCAATGGTTGAGGGTCGAACAGCCGGCTTTGCACAGCCTTTCGGCCAGACAGGGTCCGGACGGTCATATGCAGGGTAGAGGTGTGGGTGCTGTCGATCGCGCCGCGGGCTTGCATACCTGGCGTCTGTTAGCGTACACACCCCTGCAAGCCCAGAAGTCGACCTGGTAGACTTGCGTCATAGGAAAAGGTATGAAAGGAAAGGTCTTCGCATGCTCAAGTCGCTTCTGACACTCACTTCAGCAATTAACAATCACTGACGGATACTCGTCAAAGAAATCTCTTAATTCCGGCTTTCCGCGCCCAGCCGGCCCAGAACACAATACTCCCTTCTACCCTCTTCTACACACAACGACCCTAGATCACCTCATCAAGTCGTTCTTCACTCGCATCGGCGACCCATTTCCGAGTCATCGGCCGGCAGCCCGCTAGTATAAAGCAACTTGCCACCCACGCTGGTCCCTTACTTTTTTCCCTTTCCCGACGATTATGTTAGCGCTGCCCACACGACGTCAGCACCTGCCAACCATACCGTCACCACCCTGCTCTCAACACCTCTATCAACAACACGCACCCCAGACATTCGCCTCTCAACCCACCTTCGACCAGAAGATACTCATCGACTACCTTGAGTCGCAGCAGTACCCTTTTGCCACCTCGACCTCACCCCTTAACTCGTACATGAGTGGCGCATACAGCACCGACTTTGCGAACCCGGCTATCCGCATTCAGCAGTCGACCCCTACACCACAGCTCTCCCAGGGCTTCACGCAGCCGTCCATGCTGTCAGCCAGCAACGCCAGTTCCGGGCTCGAGTCCTGGAACAACTATGGTAACGTGCAGTCACAGCCACTCCAGACACTCCCCCAGCGACAGAACCGTGGACACCAGCGCGCCTCATCTTCTTCTTCAATAGGCTCAAGTGCCTCGCAGTATCAACCAGTCGGCCACGCCGCAGGCTACCAGTACGTTGCCCATCCCGATAATTGGCCCTTGCGCCCAGACGACGCTAACAGGCATTCAAGATCTCTCCAGAACCATCTCCCAACACCCACACAGACTCCTACCCAGGACTCATTCATGAACGCCAACAACTTCAACAACTACAGCCACAACGCTGTCAACATGGACCACACCATGTCTGCACACATGTCGATGAAGCAGGCGCTCATGGAGCACACTGGTGAAGACGTCCCAGACTTTGCTCACTCAGCAGGGCAGTCGGTCTCCAGTTACGGCCACGACTCTCCAGCAACGCCACACACAGCACAAGACGACATGGACCTCAAGATGCCCGCAAATGGTGAGACACTCAACAGTCGGATAGACGCCTGGCTCTTCGACGAGTTCTGTACTTACAACGAGCCAGACATGCGCCCCGTACCCAAGTTCGAGAGAACCTATACCGACATTGCTGCCGACACTGGCTTCTACGAGCCCAGCACTTCGACGACATCAGTGCCGCAGTCGAAGCCAGCACAGCCATCACTGCTGTCGCCATATCGCAGCAACACCAACGAGAACGTTCAGCGTGCGTTGCAGGCAGCACAGTTTGCACGCTCGCAATCGCCAAGCAGCACCGCCTCGAGAAGTGACTCACCCTTCCGCAGAGGCTCACCCTACCGACAGCCTAGCAACAGCTTCACGTCACCCATGGGCACTGCCATGGCGATGCGTGAGCAGAACCGCCAGGCTGATGCGGCTTACGCAATGAAGTCGCACATGTCAGCTACTGAGGACGCTGAGCCCAAGACCATCTCGCCCAAGGATGCTCTCCTGGACTACAGGGATACTGATGAAGACTCAAAGGTGCCATTATTTCCGGATAATGGTGCTAACGAGTACGGCAACCAATACACGGGTGGCGAACAATACAAGAACGCCACGCAATCCAATTTCGACGCCCCTTCATCAAACTCGTATCGGCGCGATAGCTGGAACACTCCTCAGTTCTCACCAAACTTCTCAACGTCGACGTCGTCGTCACTGCAGCCATCAACCAACTTCAACTTTGCAACACCATCTCTGCAGAGCAACATGCAAGGCCTTTCGATGAATGCGCCCGCACAATACCGACAAAGCGCCAACAACATGTCATCGATGGTTGACCAAACGCCCGAGTTTCCTGCACACATGACATCTATGGAGTCTAGTGCGAGCGAAGCGGAGCCGCCCAATGGCAGCCAAAACAGCGTGCTATCGGACCGGTACATGAGCAAGCCAGCGTCAACGGGCGCCGAGTCTGGCACATACTCATGCACATATCATGGGTGCTCGCAGCGATTTGAAACACCGCAGAAGCTCCAGAAGCACAAGCGCGAGGGCCACCGGAGCGCCAATCTCAGCACGGCTATGACGTCGGCGGCTATCCTAGAACGCAACTCGCAAGCGGGACCCCACAAGTGTGAGCGCATCAACCCAACCACTGGCAAGCCTTGCAACACTGTCTTCTCCCGGCCATATGACTTGACCCGTCACGAGGACACTATCCACAATGCGCGCAAGCAAAAGGTGCGATGTGCACTGTGCGTCGAGGAGAAGACGTTCTCACGCAACGACGCATTGACAAGGCATATGCGTGTCGTGCACCCCGAGGTTGATTTTCCTGGCAAGCATCGCAGACGCGGCGGCAACCACGACTGAGCGAGCGGGCTTTGACGAGGTGCGCGGAACCGACCGAAGACCGCGGAGACCGTGCCCTTGCAGCCCCAGGCCGGCCTGCCTGCACATTTCAGAACAGCCGGGACCGTTGGCCTGCATGCAGCCCACGCACCCCAACACAGCCAACGTGACGCACAGAATCTTCGATGGCCATCTCGACTGCGAAGACTGTGTGATGGCTGCAGGTATGGCTTTACTCGACAACGCGCACAGACACGCCGGCCGTTCCGGAGCGACGGAGTCGAGCTACACGCTTACTTCTATTGTGCCTCTGTTCATACTGTACAATACGCAGGCTCTGGCTGGCCACGACTGAGACAGCGATGCTCCGATGGAAGCCGGCGCTGCAGGGCATTCAGTTGTCGCTGGACGGAACTGAAGCATCGGGCGATGCAACTTTGAACATTCGACTGTACAGTATTCTATTTTGTCCTTTTTTTCGGGGTTTGGATTGAAAGTTATTGGCATGAGATTTACAGCGGCCACTGAGCGGGCGCATGGGATGATGATACGATATGTAAAAGCCATGGCTTCTGTATACGACAACCAAAAAAGGGACGAGTTCGTAGATAGCATTGTTTTCTCTATCCGATATCTGGTTATGTGGAGTTATTAGACTTTGTATCTTCTTTCTTATCTGATTGATCTGCTCTTTGGTGAGCACTTTTAATATATACAACACTTTTCGAGTCTACAAAATTGGTTCCTCATTACCTGTGAATACTTCTTTACATTCGTACTACGTGCTTGGAGCTGTCAGGCCTTGGTTCGCGGTACCAAGGCCCCATTTGTCATTGTGCCATCGACAGCAGCCATCGATTCCACCAGGCGTATGCAACCGGCGACGCCGGCTTCGACGCCGAACATGATCTCAGCCAACGAGTATGCAGTGAAGCACATAGACTAAATTAGCATAAGTTAATCCCCTATGGCTGATATCCAGTAACACTCTACGCCCTAGCATTCAGCTTCCATCACTCTCAGCTCTCTTAGGACCTCTGCATGATCAAACATTTCCGCGGATACTCAACTTTCCCCCTCCCCCCCTTTCCAAAAGAGAAAGCAAAAAACAAAACAAAAAACAAATCATTCATCCAGACCAACGCTACTGCAGCACCATGCGCGCACCCCCAACTCTATAATCCTAGCCTACCATGGTAGCGGAGCCATACGCATGGTGCAATGTAAGCTGAGGACTGCGCTCCATGCATCTTTACAGGGAAGAGAAAAAGACTATATCGCATCTCGCCCTTAGGTCTATTGTTCTTTTTTGATTCAGAGAGAGAGAGTGAGAATGAGAGCGATCTGGGTCCCCCGCCGCCGTCGCCGCTCACCCACACACACACACACACACACCACCCCGCCAGTGCCGGATGCTAGTGCCGACGGCTGGCTTGCGTTACGTGGGTTGGGTTGGAGAAAGAGGAGGAAAGAGAAGAAAAAAAAAGGACTACGCATTGCGCTAGCGGGGTAGCAAGGGTGCGCCAAAACACAGCCTCTTTTTCTCTCTTCCTCTTACTCTCTTTCTCTCTTACTTTTACTTTTTTTTGGGCGTCCTTGCACCCTGTCCTGTGTGTCTTACACACGTACCACATGCTCCCCCTCCCATCTTCCTGTAGTGCGACACCCACACCCACACCCGGGATAATAGAGTTTTTTTTCTTCCTTCCTTCATCCTACATTGTTCGTTTCTCTCAGCGTTCTAGAAGGTCTATGCATGCAAGCATGGATTATAGTAGTGTAATTTTTTTTCTTACTCGTCAGCCGCATGGGGAGAGGACGGGAGATGGTTTATCCCTTTTTTTGAATTTTTCAATCTTCGATCCAGGGAATCTAGACGGTCTGCACATTCTTGGGGCTGTGTGTGTGTTCGGGGATCAAAAGATTACAGAGCGCGAGTGTAAAGTATTGTCTTCCATATCCCTAAAGTAGGATGCCTCTTTTTTTTTTGCAGGCGGACGAAAATGCTCGGGGTTCGAGAGGAAAAAAAGGTAAAGGTAGCTAGCTGGGCAGACATGCAGGATAAAACGCGTAACGAGTTTCTTAGATAGATTGTTTCTCAAAACTGGCACAACCCCACCCATTTCCCTCCCCCGTCTTTCGTAATCGTTCGCTTGCAAATATCGGCATCATAGACGTGCCGTAGAACCGTTTCATAGTTGCATTTTTTTTCTTTGGGCGCCCCGCTCCGTTGCGCTCTCTTGGTAAATCAAACGTGGAATAGGGTAAGTCCATGAGGCGAAGGTCTCCACATGGCGCCGCACATACACACACAGGTTTACCTAGGAGTATTCCCCCCCCTTCTTGTTCGGCCGTTGGGCGCACCGCGTATGCACCTGTTTCGTCTGCTCGGGGAGTTGTGCCGCCGCTATGGCTCCGTACTTGCCTTCCTTGTTCATGGGGGGGGGGGGGCATGGGTTGGGGGTGGCACGCGACTAGTTCACACGCATACGCACGCCTAGTTACGTTAGTATCGGCGCCCGCGGGTGTGTGTAGGCGAGTGGGTATGGCTGACGGGAGATTGATCGGGGATGCGGAGACACACGAGAGAAAAATGTCTTGGTTGCGCGCGAGTTGCTGAGTTGAGAGGCGCCATGTGGGCTGTGTTGCGTCATGTAGGGCTGAAGGATGCGAAAGAAGGGTTCAACGACGAGGGTGTTTTTTTGTGGGTAGGCCAGCTGGGGGGGGAGGGGGGGGGGGTTTGTTCATGGAGTAGGGAAAACGCAAACGCGGTGATATTGTGGGTCTTTCCATTATGCTTGGAGTAATACGCACAGTGTGTATTAATACAAGACGTACGTACAAACTTGTCTATCAGAAACGCCATTTTAGGACAATTGTGCGACGGGCAGGCTATAACGAGTGTGACGCCTGGCTGGGATGCGCAATCACCGATCCATGAAGACTTTGTAACTGCGGAAGAATTCGGCATCGTCGTGTTGCTTACCTTGATACAGCATTCAATACACCAAGCCCTTTCGTACGCGTCAGTCGATTATTGAAATATATTAGTATACACACATGCAGCATCAGTGATTCGTCACCTACCCAGTCTTGGCGGCAACCCACGGCCTACCTGCCATACTTACCATACCGACCCAAGAATTTTTTTTCTCCAATACCAAGCTCAGACTCGTCTAATCTTCCCCTCCTCAAAAAAAACCAAGAGAAAAACCGAAAGATATAATTTTTTACTCTCTCTCGTAAGATTATAGTGCTATTGTACGGCCCTTCTGATATCCGGACTACGTATGTGTAGTAAGTATATTCTCTTCAACCCCGATTCCCCCCCAACAACCATGCACTAGGCCACATCCTCTTGTTCCGCGGGCTCCCACACCACTGGGTATCCTCTTCTTACTCATCCCTCGCCCTCGGTGGAAAGGGAAACCCTCGATTCGAGGTTGATAGCGCGATGCACGGGGCTTTTGCAGATTGCGTGCGGGTTATTAGAGGGGAGGGGTGGGATGCGGGTTACGTTACGTTGGAAGTGCGTTACCTCGGTGTAATGCGTGGGCTTGGCGGTCGGGTTTTGAAGGATGGAAGGATCCGGGGGAGGGAATGAGCCGTGGGTGGAAACATCCGTGGAAACATCCGTGGAGCAATCATGATCCATGCGAGCAGATGAGTCGTTATGCGGGCCATGTGCGTGAGAGGATGATTCATACTTACTGCAGGTTAGCACGTACGACGGGGTATACAGGGGTCCTCTCAACTACTTGGGTGTATCAAGTATATTCTGCAGCCAGCTCGGAATATACTAATTTGAATTTACTGGTGTTTTACTGCTAGAAGAAGATGGGGGAAAGCCTATCTCGTCGCTTTTGTTCCGACACCTTCTTGCTTATCATAGTTGGATCTAGAGGTAACTATGCACGAAAGAGCTTTAAAGCATTGGAACTATATCTCTAGAAGTATAAAGCTCCTCAGTGCGGACCGAGATATGATTAAGGAAAGAGTCAAGTAGTAGCGCTTAAGAGTAGCGTTCGAAGAGTGTGGTGTAGGGATGCCGTTTTTTCTATAGAAAACTGACAAAGCTGGCATTTGTTACTTCAACCGGGGCCTCTACATATTCCGTCGTATGTGATGACCTGCAGTGCGTACATATTGTACTACTAGATGCACAGGCGGCTGCAGGGAGCGGGACTTTCGGGTGGATCACTCGGGGCATTTACTTCGGGAGCGGGAGTGTGTGCGTAGTTAGCGTTGATATACTATTGTAAGATGATTTATAATGATTAGAGATGATGATTTTCACCTTTTCATGTGTTCATCTTGTAGGTTTGTGAAAAACCTAGGTTTGCAGTCCAATGTACAGGACAGGATGTGTAAGAAGACCTTGCTTCTCGCTTAGCCCTGACTTTGGCGGTTGTATACACGAAAATATAGATGGTTGTAGATTCACCCCTCCCCATACTGATGTTCCAAGAAAACATTCACACGCTATCTTGAGAACTAGAGTTTGTCGATTCGCAATGCATTATTGTGTACAAATTTCCTGTAGAGATGCTTATCTCAAAGTAGTGCCATTACACTACTGGATACCCGTTTGGATATCCGCCTGGAAATCTAACTGATACCACAAAATCATCCGTGCTCTTTCAAGTCGCACTCTCGGGCTTGGTGCGTTTACAAGGACACTTCATTTGTAATGCTGGCTGGCTGTTCTCTGCTGATATTTACCATCTTAGACGACAAAGCTCAGGGGTTGTCTCTAACGATTACGTTTCGCCAAACTTTGCCAATAAGCAATTAGTAATCACAGTCTGTAATCTCGTCAAATCAGATCGACGCTTCATGCAATATAATTGCGCGGATTGAGAACTTGCTTTAGCATGCTTTCCTACCATTTCAGTCACGGTGGCTCTATTTACAACTGGAGCCTTTCAAACATCTACTCACATCGTGTGTCTTTGCTGTTAGCTCAGCAGTAGTTGTAACAGCCACTTTACCAAGTGACAACCCCGCCCGGAGACGTTGAAAGGAATTCCCATAGTAGGTCAGAAACAACTGCGCTTGCACTAGGACATCCAAAAAAACCACCATGGTCACCAGCAACAAGTACCCTGGTCTAGAAGTTGCCGTTCATGTTAACGACCGGCCAATACAGGAGTACGATGATGATGATGACGAGAACCCTCCATCAAACACCGTTACAAAATACATCGAAGCTAAATCAGGAGCTGAATTTGCTGTGATAACCACCTTCAAGCCGCCCTTCTCTCCACCTCATGGAGTCATGATAAGTCTTATTGTCGACGGTAGTCCAGTGACTTCCCGGTGTTGCCGACAAGACGAGCTCTTCGGTCGCGTATTTAATATGCATGCTATTCATCGGAAGATTGATGGGGAATGGGTGATGCAGAAGCTTCACTTCTCAGAGATTGACATTGGTATTTATGTCAAAAGCCATTTCATCGATATCTACTCAAAATCTTACAGTGAAAGAAGCACATGCGGTAGCACCGAATCCCACAGATGTCAAACATGCTCTAAGTAGCAAAGGACAGATTACACTCTTGCTTCACTTTGTAAAGGATATCAAAGAGATAGGGTCGGATGAGTACTGGGAAAGAAATGTCGAACTCACACCACTTGATGAGATTCCAGAGAAAGCGCTGAAAGGAAATGCGCTCTCACACCAAGCAGCGTATGTATGGTAATCTGGCAATAGTTCTGTGGAAAGCTAACCAGACACAAAGCCTGACCACCCCAGAAAGTTCTCAGAGCCGATCCGGACAGAAACTCAGAGTGTATAGTCTCGCAGAGAAAGAGCCATTCGCAATATTTCATTTCAAATACAGATCTCTTGGTCAGTACCGTCCGTTTCAATACACACACGTACTGACATACACGCCTCAAGCGAGCCTAAAGGCCCTGGGAATAGTGCCCAGAGATGAAGCCATGACGGTTCCGCTAGAGGACAGACCAGAAGAAGAACTCACTCCAGACGAGCTGAGAGAACTAGTTCGCCGCATGAGACAAGTATGTATACTGGGTTTTCTGTGAACAAAATTACTGAGCTAGCGACAGCGAGAAGTGCAAAGCAATCTCATCAAGAAAGAGACAACAAACAGAGGCTCGATCGAGCATGAACAGATCACCGACGATGAAGAGGCCTCTGCAGCTTAATGGCACATCCACAATCGTCCACGAGTTGATCCAGAGGTCGTTACGATTGATTGATGCGGTTTTGGTCAGCTCGGTACGGAACATGATTGCCCACCCTGCTGCGCGGAGCTCTGAGTACGAAAATCGACACGCAAAAGATGCTAAAATGACGATGCTCCCACCAACATGCTTTTGAATGCGGAATCTGTTGGGCTGATCAGCTGTGTGCTTGACACATTGGACTGTAAAGCCACCTGTACGAAACCTTAGTGCACGCGGCGACCAAGACACTCTTCAAAAGGGTGTGTCTAAAAGATCTTGCTGATCTGGACTTGTGAGTAGGGAACGGTGACGGCGATATTCAAGTGATTGTATTTCGGTGATTTACCAATTAATATGGACTTTTACCTTCTAAAGAGTCCTAGGATAGCACAGCAGACGGCTGTCTAATATTATGGCTTCGTATCCACTCTTTTTCCTTACCTCAATTTCTCTTCCGCCCATGTGATCTTCAGTCTCAGACCAAATATGATGATTCTTCATTGTTGTCCTAACTGAAGGCTCACCTTCTCATCTATTCTCGATAAGACTCACTGTCCAAGAAACTATTGAGTTAAGTGAAGATGAGGAAATTGTAGCAATGTTATTGCAAACCAAGGATGAAATAATTTCTACTTACTATGGCCAAGCTAGGTGTTGGAATAAGTGAAAAGTAAACGAAAGTCTTCTTTAATCATGAGAGAAACTGGCTATCCCGAAAAACTTTATTCTCATACACCAAATACCTCGCACAACACATTCACCTCAACTTCTACCACCGCGGTGCCGTCGCAGTAGGCAAAGCATACGTCTCACTCCACGTAGCTGTATACTTTGAGCTCCCCACAATAGTCTGACTCCTCGCGTCCACATACGTCGCGCTCGTCACCACGCTATTAGTCCCAATCCACGTGCTCCACGGGGTCGCCGTCGCAACACCCTTGATGGGGCCCAGCGCAACGGCCGTCGTCTCCGGCCACGCACCCGACCACACCGTCGGGCCTGGGATAACGTAGTCAGTGGGACAGGGGGCAACGGACCCCGTTGGTTTCTTAGTTTCAGTCGAGCAGTAAATCTAACGCGTACATCAGTATACACAACGATGTCACCAACACAGTCAGCTACTAGAAAGGGAAAAGAGCTAGTAAGACGAACATTGTGTACAACTCCCGGATCCTCATACGAATACGCCCCCGGAAACCCGACTCCCTCGGGCAACTCAACCTCACCACCCCCCACAACCTCAATCTGCACACAATCCGGATAAAACTGCGCTCCTCTCCGCGGATTCTGCGCAAAACTCACGTCGCCCTCATGCAAGCCGATCATCTCAGCGCGGATAAGATACGGTCCTGCCTTCAGGCCCGCAGGAACACGCACATTCATGCGTCCGTAGTTGGCCCTGATATCCGCCGTGGTACTCCATTTACCAGGCTGCGGGAAAGGGTTACTTTGGATTTTGCCGGCATGCCAGAGTTTGACAAAGGACGAGTTTGTCGGGGGGTCTGGCGAGATGTAGATGAGCGAGGGGCCGTGGTGCGAGTATGCGATTACTTCGTCGGTGGTGTTGCGGAGTTCGTGGTGCCAGTCGAAAGTTAGGTTGTCTCCCGGAGATACTTTGATGGTGTCGTGGGCTTGGATGTCACCCAGGACGTTGCAGCGCATGTCGATGGAGGAGAGGTCCTTGACGGGGGAGTTGTTGTAGCCGCCTTTGCCGTTTTGCCCATTGTATCCCGGTATTCGGATGCCGGTGAAGGTGCCTTGGTCGACGCCGTTGACGAAGACGCCCTGTGAGTGGGTTAGTAGGGGAGTGGTTTAGATGAGGGATTCTAGTGTACCCAGATGAATGTGTGGGCGTATGCTTGGCTTGCGAGGAGCGGGAGGATGAGGGCGTAGTTAGGTGCCATTGTGACGGCGAAGACAAGGAAACTCGAAGTGATGGATGTGCACAATGCGAGGTGTTTCTGAAGACTTCTATGGCGCCATTTATAGCGAGGTGATTCACTGGGTGTGTATACACCTAAGGGCAGATGATGAGGCTAGTGTATTGCGATGCAATATACCCGTTCTGTCCCATATTATTAATTTACTGCGGGTTCCTAACCCATCCACACAGGCATGCAGATAGGACATATCGGGCGGGGAGATCGGATTCATGCCCGATTCTGCACAACATACGTACTGAATATAGGTATTCGTTTTGGTGACATGCATATGGAGAGTCGGAACCGCCCTGCGGACACTGTATTGCCATGGTAGTACCCCGTATAGTGGGGTGCAGTCTTGCGGTTTTTTTGAGACCTATTTCAGGGCTCGCCGGTTCCCTGGTTATATCAATGGATGAGGTAGAGGGGTTCAGTGAAGACATGTGAAGTTGCACGCCATAGCCTTTCACGAAAACATGGACGAGTTGTCGGAGTTGTACAGACATAGAAAACAGTATTGTAGGCAGGTGGTTGTTGTCAAATGAGTAGTCCAAGTTCTTAGAGATACTGTATGTCCCTCACGCCCATCAATCTAGCATCAAATGTACTTATCAGGGTGCCTGTTCGAGTCTCAGTGTTGTAAGTAAAACGCCTGCCCTCACCAGCCGTCGGTAGGAAGACATGGCAATCGGAAAGGCAATCGGCCTTGTCTAGTAACTCCAGCAGCCAATGCGACAGTAAAAAACCATATAAATTCACAAGACGACGACGATGGTGAAGTTCGATCCACGTGCCGCAGAGCCCCAGATCGGTGTTTGCACACGCGCGATCTCTAGCCCCCGCGACTTCCCCCGCCGGTGATTGGCTCATGCCGCAACCACCGGCGCTATTTTATCAGGTCCGGCGCTGCTGACTGCACTTGACCTCCCATTTCCCTCACCCCCCAAGGCTCCTGTATAACCGCGCACATACATCACACACCTTGCAAGCAACGCCTCGAGGTGTAAAAGGCCATTCGTTTTTTTAATCTTCTGCCGCAACCTTTTCTGTTTCTTATTTGCTTGGCTTTTCTGTCCAATCGTAGCGAGGTAAAATGGCGCGTGGCAACCAGCGTGACAAGGCTAGGGAGAAGAACCTCAAGGAGCAGGCCGGAAAGGTAGGGTTTTCCTTTGTCCGATACTGCTGGGAGTACGGCTAGTATGGTATTCGCAATGATGCTGACATTTTGACAGAAATCCAAGAATACGGTATGTTTATTGTGAAGATATGCTGGATACACCGCCAAATAGAGAGCAGGCGGCTAACGGACAGCCTCTTAGCAATCCGGTACCGAGTTTGCCCGCACCAAGGAGAACGTTGCGGCTATCATGCGCGCTAAGCAGGCTGCTGGTAAGTCGTCCCTCTGCCTGCCACGTATCTGCTGCGTGGTCGCAATGTGTGGATGCAGACGTGGCGTTGTAGAATATCTGTGCTGACATCCACTATAGCTGAGGCAAAGAAGGCTGAAACTGCCAAGAAATGAGCAGCTGCAAGCGCGCTGTGGCACCGATTACAGCAGCAACTTAGACAGCCCCAGTTATTGAGTAGCGGAGTTTTACGGAAAAGGCATTGGCGGGTTATGAGTTACGGGTGTTGGTGAATTGCTTGGATACCAAATACACTGATTTTTGATTTTGCAATGTTGTGATGTTACCTATTTTGCTGATCCAACTGTGAAGCCCAACCAACCTTCTGCCTAACATTTGTAAGTTCCTCACTTGCAAACATCACGATAGTAAAGTCAAAGTCAAGGGAGCAAACATAGTGGCGACCACTTGGATCCAGCTCTAATACTTTAAAAAGGTTTTAACAAACGCGAACAAAATCCCTGCCAAAAGTACCCAGCAGGCACCACAGCGCGGCAATACATCGCAGCATGTGGGGAATACGGTATCATGCAAACGCCCCAGCAAATGATAAAATGGTATAAAGAGGCCAGCGAAAAAAAAGGAAGAAGGCGCCCAAGTGGAAAACCTCCTCCCTCGCCGACTTCATCATAAGAATCTCGCCTCCTTTCCCCCTCTATCTTTCTCCTGACTACAACACGCAACCCCAACCGCCCATTACACCTTACTGCAATTTCGTTTCGACCATTTAAGCAATCATGCCGGCATAGCCGCCAAAGCTGTTGATAGCCGCAGTAGGGGGGAAGGATCCCGCGCCGCACAGGCACTGGCACGAGCAAGCAATACCCTGACCGTCCATACCGGATCCAGCAATGACCTGGGCAGGAGGAGGAGGAGAAGCCGCAGGAGGAGCGGGTGGTGGAGGTGCTGCGCCTGTAGGAGCAGCTTCGCCGCCTCCAGCAATGACGCCGACGGTGGAGGGGGCTGCAGCCGCGCCAGGGTCGACGATCTGAAGACCGCCCTCTACGAGGTCGGTGCCGTTGGTCTTGATGGCCAGCGTCTTGAAGTCGGCCATCGTCTTGTCGCCAGTCTCGGCGGGGTTGATGGAGAAGACCATGCCCTTGCCGCAGTGGATTCCGTTCTTTTGCTTGCAGTAGAACCCTTTTTAGTGTTAGTTGGCTATTCGCATTGGCGCAAAAAAGTTGTTGGGTAGGCTTACAGAGCGGCTCGGTGGTCTCGACGGTCATGTTCCAGGTGACGCCGGGCATACCCTCTGGGTTGGGCATGAAGCCAGAGTCCATTCCTCCCTCCATCTTCTTGCAGGGCTCGGCGAAAGTCGACTGGGTGACGGTGTGGTTCTTCTGCATGAACTCGAAGACGACCATGTCGCCGACGTTGGCCTTGATGGTATCGGGAGTGTATTCTAGCTTGGGGGCCATGCCCGCCTCAACAGGCTTCATTCCACCAACAATAACCTACCATGTATTAGCATAAGAGGCTCGAGCTTTTATTAGTGCGGACTGTGCTTACAGTGTGGATTTTCTGGCCAGCGGCGGGAGCAGGAGCAACCTCCATAACCATCATCTCAGCAGTGGCCAAGGCGGCGGCCAAAGGTAGTGCTGTGAAGTACTTCATTATGACTAGTAGATTGAGTATCGTGTGTTAAAAAATGTTTTGTCGTGAAAAGTGAACGTAAGCCTGCACTGCAAGCACTAGAATGTACGATGAAAAAGGGTGAAGGATTGAAAGGGCACTACGAGGGCCGGCTCGGACAGTAAGAAGCAGATGAGGAAAAGAGAAAGAGAAAGTGGAGCACCAGTATTATGAGGCAGATGTCTTGATGTAAGGAGAAAAGCTGTCTGCCTGGGGAAGTGTATTCCTTAAATCCACGCATGAAATTGTTGATTCTGAAGGGTTTGCACGCCGGTCGCATGCCGGGCGAAACACCAACCCCCTGAGCTGGGCAATCCAGTACGAGTAAGGAAACTTGGGTGGAAAAATGGCGAGATTTTGGCGATCCGCCCGCGGTTGCGCGTGGGTGCGGGGTTGGGGTGATGCTCGAACCGTTGGAAGAGGGTTGAAGTGCGTCGCGGTGGTGTCGCAGATCTGTCTCGCCTCTCGCTGCACAGCACGCTTTGGGTAATCTAAGAGCCACGAGGCCTATAGCACTAGCGACACAACTACTCATAATGCCTGGACAATGGGGCTGGAAAAGATCAAGCCGCATAAGAGGCGGTGCCAACTAATAGCTCGCGGCCTACTTTCCCGTCCTCTTTGAGGCACAAACTGTTGGTGGTAAGTCGCGCCCAGGGTCATGGCAATGAACATCCTTACGCGCATTGGCTGCACATGCTGGCAATTATCCAGGCTCAAGGCAATAGTCGTGCATCATGGCGGACAGCCACGCAATTCATATGCGCCGCTGTTATTCTTGAGCGGAAGAGTCGTGAGCCGCCTGCTGGTGCTGGCCCGCATGCAAACCGGTGTAGTAACCAGCATAGTACCACGACATCATGATGTTTTTTAGGTTTTCGTCTTTAACTGCAGAACATCATCAGCATACGGCCCGCTGCCCGCTTCCGACTGTCCACGTTCCCCGGAAACAACGGCTGTCAAAATCAGTAATACATACCTGTTCCGAGCATCGCTTGGGGCACGGCCTCTGCAAGAGTCTCGGCAGCACCTGGGGCCGATGCAGCCTCAGCCCTTGGCGATTGGGTATCGTGGGTGTTTTGCTGTTCGGATTGTCCTGGTTCCTGGTTCGCGTTAGCCAGGGCTCAGAACTCGAGTGTTTCACTTGCGACATGTACACGTACCTGTTGCACAAGGCAAGTTTTTTCCGACTGGGCAACGCAGCTTATCTCTGTATTCGACATGTCTGCATCGTCGTTAGGCGCAATGCCATTGGTTTCTGTTGCTCCTGACGTTGGCTCTGTTTCCTCTATCAGGTCGCCATAGCCCCTGCTGGCGTTAATCTAATTTCATCTTGACAGGCTCCAGGCAAGCGCCCAGCAAGCACCTACTCTCGCAGTTCTTTGAGCTCCTCTTCCGTGAGCACGTCTTCTAGTCGCTTGCCAGACTGGTGGATGCTGTGATACTTCTGCATCCGCAGGTTAATCAACCTTTTTTTTTCCTGCACAGCTTGGCAGCAGAGGTGAATTCTTACCTTGTACTCGTTGAGCGCGTCATCCCAGGAACTGATGAGGAGAGAGTCGTCCCAAGCATGCTTATCACTCATATCAACGACTGGCGCCATGCTGATGAAGAGCCAGGGCGTGATTTGTGAATCCAGTCGGGGTGTTTTGTATATAGAGGCGATGCAAGTTAACTTTAGAGACGCGCAATGAGCAGCGGTAGGATCAACAGTTCAAAGTCTATGCGAGTGAGCACTTGTACGAGAATGGTCAAGGGATGCGCGAGCGGATGGGCATGTGGTGAGCTGGTCGACTGGCTTGGCGAGGGTCTAACTTAGCGCAACTGCCCTCAAAAAAAGTTACCGCGTCCGAGCTCTCCTCCGAACTTTTGCGCGTAACCACCGTCGCGACCACATATTGTTCCACACAATTGCAGCTGACCACAATGGCCCCCGACGATACAAAGGGAAAGAAGCGCAAGAGTAAGAAATGGCGACATGGGCAACATAATTTTGTAATTTTGTCAGCTAATATCGCATAGGCGCACCTGAGACAACGCCCAAGGCAAAGAAGGCCAAGAAAGCCGACGATGTAGCCGCCAGCGAGCCCAAGCCAACGCGCAAGTCTGCGCGCAAGCAAGCCTCCGACTTCATGGACGTTGACGAAGAGAAGGAAGTTGCGCCTGTTGTTGCTGCTGAGCCCGTCAAGCCCAAGAAGGGCAAGCAGAGCAAGGCCGCCGCTCCCGCAAAGGTACCTGAGCCTGCTGCAGAAGTCGCAGAGGTCGCAGAGGTCCAGGAGAAGCCCAAGAAGCAGGCAAAGAAGGCAAAGACTGCTGTTGTAGAGGAGACTACTGTCACAGAGACTCCCAAGGAGACAACAAAGAAGACGAAGAAGACAAAGGTGGCCGCTGATGTCCCAGCTGTCGTAGAAGAGACCACTGTAGTCACCAAGCCTAAGAAGACAAAGGGTGGCAAGAAGCAGGAGGCGCCCGAGCCTGAGCCCGAGCCCGAGCCAGAGGTGGACGCCACAGAGCCCGCCGCCGCCTCAGATGATGAAGACGTTGCAGAAGACGACCAGACAGCAGCCCTGCTTGCTGGCTTCAGCGACGACGACTCAGACGATGCCGACGAGGATGTCGACTTCAACGAGGACGAAAAGATTCCAAAGCTCAGCGCAAAGCAGAGGAAAGCCATCAAGCAGGCCGAGGACGCCCCCAAGTCCAACCAGCCTGGTGTCATTTATGTCGGGTACGAACACTTTACCTCACTCCTTGGTATCCTGCTAACTTTCGAACTAGTCGTGTGCCACGCGGTTTTTATGAACCCCAAATGAAGAAGTACTTTTCTCAGTTTGGAAAGGTCAACCAGTTACGTTTGTCGCGTAACAAGAAGACGGGCGCCTCCAAACACTATGCTTTCGTTGAATTCCAATCACAAGAAGTAGCTGACATTGTCGCACGGACCATGAACAACTACCTCCTCTTCGGCCACGTCCTCAAGGTTCACCTTATTCCCACCGACCAAGTACACCCTGATCTTTTCAAGGGTGCCAAACAGCGGTTCAAGGTCGATCCCCGCAACAAGAAGGCTGGTCTTGAGATGGAGCGTGGGGCTGAGCGCTCGCAGTGGGAGAAGCGTGTTGTGAATGAGAACAAGCGGAGAGGTACCAAGGCCAAGGAGCTAAAGGAGATTTTTGACTACGAGTTTGAGGCACCGACACTCAAGACTGTCGACAGCGTCCCCGCGCACACTACCATAAAGAAGCTCAAGCCTTCGGAGTCCAAGAAGCTTATTACCGACACGCCTGCTGAGGAGGTTACTGTTGCCGAGCCAAAGGTCAAGAAGGGCAAGAAGGGAGCAAAGGCTGAGGCTGAGACACCAGCAACCGAGGCCGTTGAGCCTACCAAGGTAGCCTCTCCAGCACAAGCGAAGAAGGGCAAGAAGGCCACAAAGGCAGCTGTTCCAGAGAAGCCCAATGACGTGGCTGAAGAGCCTGCAGTAGTCGAACCTGCCGCCGACAAGAAGACCAAAAAGGACAAGAAGCGAAAGTCCGACGTTGCACTTGAGACTAGCACTGCCGTCGAGGAGGCTGTTGCCGAAGCACCAGCCAAGAACAAGAGGGCGAAGAAGGAAAAGGAGAGCAAGCCCGAGACTATTGTCGAGGAAGTCGAGGAGAAGAAGGTTGCTGCAAAGCCCAAGAAAGCTAGCAAGAAGGCAAAGGCTTGAGTGTTCATACCCATGAATATGATACATTAGTCTTGGTCTTGAGTTTTCTTGGTCGTTCATCCCATATAAACGTTCAGGTGACTTCGCCTGGCATGGAAATGATCTACTCTTGGTGACTGTTTTGTGTCTTAGCGTTTGACGATTTTCTTCTATTCTTCGACACATGGAGCGAATGTTATGAAAAGCGAGGGGTCGGTATGGGTAGGATAAGATAGGACATACCAATCAAAAATGTTTCCATCACTACCAACTCATCTATAACCCTACTCTCATGTCAGCACCACCCTGTAGTCATGCTACGCCCCGAAGGATTGCATAGCGCGATCGTCCCGCCCTCACAGCCCCCCATACCGTTAGCCCCCAGCAATTGAAACGCGACATATTTAACCAAGTCGACAATTCCTCACAGAACATCCCCTCCTTCCCCTCCCGTTCCCCCCCAATCTCCCATCTTTCCCCCCGCTCGAATCCAATTCTCAGACTTCCCCTCAAATGGCGAACGCAGACCCCCGCCTCTCAGCATCCCAAATGCACAACTCCGTCACCACCCTACCTCCCGCAACCAGACACATAATCACACACGATGCCCAAGGAAAAAGCGTCATCCATTCCGCTCCAGCACTGCAATATTACGGATATCCCGGTCTAGGCGGCGCATCTCGCTCCTGTACGAGCCCCCCCCTTTCTTTCCTCCTCCATCCAAAAACACACAAACACCCACCCAACATCCCCAATAAATCTTCAAAATCCTAACCTTGTAAAGACGCAACTTCATCTACCCCAGTCTCCATAGAGGGCGAAGTAGATGTAAAAGCGTACCTCGCCCCCACCGGCCCCCAAAGCTACACAACCCGCGACATCGTGTCCCCAGGCTCAGGCTCGCACTTGATAGTCTGCGAGTTGGGTCCCGGACAAGCGAGCCAGATGCATCAGACGGTTTCTGTAGATTACGTAGTGTGTACGCATGGACGGTTAAATATGCAGACGGGGGGTGGAGAGGTGATTGAATTGGGACCTGGTGTGAGTTTTTTTCATCTCCCCCCCCCCTTTTTTTTTGCTGGTAGCTATAGGATTGAAGCTGATGAGTTTTGTGTATATTTTAGGATCACGTTGTTCAGAGGGGAACAATGCATAAGTGGATTAATGGGTCGGATACGGAGCCTACGCGCTTCATTGCTGTTACGGTGCCGTGCGAGCCGTTTAAGATTCCGGGGACGGACAAGATGCTACAAGAGGTGCATGTTGAGGGGAGTGAGGTGAAGGATTGGGATTTGAGTAAGCTGTAAAGTATGTACCAAATTTGGATTGATACACCATTGAAATCGAGCAGTACGATGCAGAGTAAACATCGACAATGGAAGAAGTTAATGGTTTCATTTCTCGCTAACAACACAATACAAAACTGCTCATCTGACTCGACTAGCATCCAGCTCAGTGACCCCTCCGAGAACCATCCCTGTCTTAACCAGTACCTGATACGGCGAGCTTCATCAGATGGTCCATGAATGTTTGCAAACTGACGTCGTCGGTGAAGATGGTCTGTGCGGTCTGCGCGACGCCACCGTAGGTTCCAGTAGTGTGTGTTGTCGAAGGGTTGAGCTTGCTGAGCAGGAAACGGGCTTGCGAACCACCAGCATCGCACACAATGAAACGGGGAAGTGGGAAACGATCTTGAATGAGCTCCTTGGCGTCCTCCTTGGGCGCTTCCAAGAGTGCTCGGAAGTTCTCGTAGCCCTCTTGCTCGTGGTAACCAGCCTTCCTCCATTCCGCCATAGTCTCGCCGTGGAAAATAAGAATGTGGAAGAAGGTGTCGAGCAACAGAATGGTCTCGTTTTGGATCGAGCTGGAGTCGAGGAGTACGGGCTGGCCGCCTTCATGGTCAAAGCCGTAGCTGTCCAAAGTTGGTTGAATCATGATGAGTGAGTTGCTGACATCCTCGCGGTTCAAGACGTGACGGTAAAAGGCAGTTTCATCAGGAGAGTTGTTGAAGACTTGCAAGAATTGCGAACGACGGAGATGGAACATGAACTGCGGGTATAGCGTGAAGTTCTTTTCGAGTCTGGTATGAAGTTAGCAGTGGACTTGACGAATTTCAGCCTGCCAATGTTTGCGCTCGACGCAGTGCTAATATCTCGGGGCTAAAAGTTGTATACATACCTAAATGACGAAGGATCGTCCTTCCTGTACTCGGCAAAGCGAGCGCATAGTCGGATCAACATGCGGTCAACCCATCTCAAGACGTCTGGGCCGTCGTCGACCTCAGCCTTGAATACTGCTATCCTCGACATGAGTACTGCAGCGGCTTCTTGGTCAAAGGATTGGGCAATGGCGGGGTCGCCAGAAGGACCACTCAACGGTCGGGCTACGGTGGTGACTATGGGATGTTAGCGCTTGTAGTTGGCATCGCAACAATACTTTAGCATACCTCTCAGGTGGTACTGGCCAGACGAGTGCTGGTAGTGTGTGAGGAACTGGATAAGAGCCTGTTGCTGGCCTGATTGCATCTGGCTCGGTCCTCCCTGACTGGCAATTTCAAAGTAGATACCGTACGAAGACTCGGGATCGATACCGCACATCTTCCATGCGCACGTGCTTCCAATACCGATTTCAGTCTCGCCAACAGCTACGGACTTCTTGTTGAGCGAAACTGCATGACCAATCAGACCACTAAGTTTCAACTCCTTTGTGGTAAGGACCTCAAGGTTGGCGTTGAAAGCCATGAGGAGATTGTCATCGGCGTCTTTGTTAAAGACACGCGCAAATGACTGCTTGTACATGGACGAAGTGAAGCTGTCCGTCAAGATCATATGTCCACCTGTCGAGTTGGCAAGACCGCGCATTTCGAGCAGACCAACCTGGTCAAGACATCCGGCAAAGATATCGACGATATGGCCGTTGTGTGAAACACGCTTGGCAAGGTTCTCGTAGAATTTGAGAGCCTTTTTGTAGTACTTGATGTTGTCGCGGTCGATATCGTGGTGCGATCGAATGGGCTCACGGAGCTCGGGTCCAACAACCATACCAGGACCCTCGGTCGCTGGGCCACCGCTGAACAGCATGATACGGGAACCCTTGTTCACGAATTGTGTCTCCAAAAGTCCGGCCGCCACACTGAGCGCGACGCCGGTACACCTTAAAGGGCGCTTGTCGTTTGCGACGGGCCAGGGATCTCGCTGAAGGGCCTCGAGGGCGTTTGTCAATTGGAATTCGCACTGCGATACAGGAAGGATGAAGCGCGCGCCGGCTCCTGCTGGGGGTGCCATGGGAGGCCGGCCAGGCTGCTGTGGAATGCCTGGTCGCGCAGCCATCTGGCTGAGGCCAAGCATCTCGTGGACCTGCTTGGAGGAGTAGTCTTTGCTACCGCGGAAGACATAGGACTTGGCGCACTCGGTGTAACCCAGCTCATGAACTTGAGCCTGAAATTATTAGCCAGTTATAATAATACCAGAGTTGTTCCACTCACCATGGTGCCATATGTGATGAGACCAACGAGAGCGTATGCGGGGAGCAGACTCAAGCTCATGATGATTGAGTCCTTGAGAGCCTTTAGGCTGTCCTCCTCCTGGCATGTATCGACGACGAAGAGGAAGATGGGAGGAGTGTCTACGGGCTGAGGGAGACGGTACTCGATGGTGGTGCTGGCTGCGTGCAGCTCTGGGGGTATTTGCTGCTCGGAAATGTCCTTGTAGTGGGGTGGGAGAGAGTTGCGGTTGAGACAGAAGGGACATATCCAGACACGGGCGCGCATGTCAATCTGGCTGTCGGAATATCAGCCACGGTACATTTTGCATGTGTAGCATTGGGTCTCATCATACCAGAAGGGGTTGAGGACGGCCTTGCATGGTGCTCTGCAGACAACGGGCTGATATTGGAGCAGCGGGGTTTCGGTCTTCTCCTTCAGAGGGGTGTATAGGGCGCCAATGGGGACGACAAGGCGAGATGCTTCCTGTATGAATGGTCAGCATTCCCTTGGCATGATTGCGACGGGCGAAGGCAGCGGTCAGCATACCATGCGCGAGCTTGGAAACGTGTTCCAACTGAGGCGGAGACCATCTCTGTCCTCGATCTCGCTCCACTGGTCCTTGAGCGCCTCAAAGTCGGCCATGGTGGATGGTTGCGAGGCGTCTCGGTATGTTGAGACGATTGGTAGGAGGGAGTGTTGTAGTAGGGCAAGGTTGGTGCTGGAGGGCAGAACCGAGGGCGCCCACGATAGGTGACGGACTTGGTGGGGCTACGAGAGACGTGCGCCGGGCGAGAGTAGAGCGGTGTAGGGGAGATGGGATGAGGGCAGAGGAGAGGAATATGTTGCTGCCTCTTGACCAAACACAGGATATGGCAACGTCTCAATTCCAGAGCTCCCTTGGTCAAGCTACATATGCGTGGGTACTCGAGTTGGCGATGCGGCCAGATGTTCTTGCCCTAGCGCGCCTGTTTGGGCCTAGCGCGCGATGACGGCGTTCAAAACCTCTGATTTTCTCGGGCAGCTCTCGCTTCTTCTTTCTCTTCATCACCGCCAGCTTCACAATACTACGTAACGGCAGGCTCCTAGTTCTCCAATGAATGAGCCTGTTTTCGCGCTGTGCGCAGAAGAGATATAGGCCCATGGCTGGGCGCCCGATCTGGAAAACTCGTTCCGAGTATACTGAGAGGTTGGGAATCAGCAGAGGTCACATTTCAATCGTCTTTTCTCTTGTTTATGTGCTCGCCGGGGCGCGTGTTCACGCTCATTGTTTTTGCAGCGCGCAAACTCAATGTCACGTGCGTCGCTCTGCCCCCATGTCGGATGCAGCTATTTTTGAATCACTTCACTCCACCCTGGCTCTACCCTGTCAACATGCATTGCTGCCGTTCACCTTGCGTTCCCGAATCCAGCATTCTCTTCCGTTGTCGCATTCTATTCCTCGCTGCGACTCACGCTTCCCCGTGCTACAAGTATACTTTCCAGCAGCCTTTGTTGTCTGTCATGGCGCGCTTGTTATGACACGAAGCTCTTCACGCGTACGCACACGGTGATGTCAATTGAAGCTGACCAAGCACCCCCGCAAAGGCTACCTCGTGTTGGGAATGTATCTGTTGTCGATCCCATATCCACTGCCATCTACATACACAATGCCATTGGGTTTCGCGGATTACTAACTATGGATCCCTCAGGTAGTTGTACTCGGTGTCGCATTCTACTTTTTCGCATGACGCTGGCGTCAGCTATCGGCAGCCTGTCCAGTCTGGCTTGTGTTGACAGAAAGTGAAATGAGCCAACCTTGTGGCGGATGACCTTTCGCCGGGAAGGTGGTACCAATGGCTTGTTCGTTTGCTGTCAAGGTTTGCTGACCTCTCATCTCTCACTTGCACCCAATGCCTCAGTCACTCTACCCATCCCCTCGTTCAGTATGACTTCTTTCTATCCGGCCACTGCTACCGCCATCGCCCTGGCTTTGATTCTCGTCTACACAATCTGTTCACTGTCTACGTACGATCCTACATCCATCTTCTTCAACGCGTCCAATGCCTACATCCCGCGATACTCTGCTCTGAGGTACCGACAGGCCATGGCGTACGTGTCGAGTTACAACTCTACATCCAGCGCCGGTTTGTTGGGGGGCAAGGACTCCAACAAGAAACTATGTATTGGCATACCCTCAGTCGCGCGCCATGGCCCACAATACCTACCTGGTGCCATTGGGTCTCTGTTGGAAGGCCTGACGGTGGATGAAAGGAGCGAAATATACCTCATGGTGTTTATACCACATTCAGATCCCAAAGCCCACCCAGCTTACGGAGAGACATGGCTACCGAGGCTGACCGATCGTGTACTCACATACGAAGGGCTCAATGCAAAAGAACTGGCCCACGTTCGCAAAATGGAGGCCCAAGGAGGCACGTTCAAAGAGAAGGGACTGTACGATTACTCATATCTGGTATCCAAATGTGCAGAGCTTAACACGCCGTATATTGCCGTTCTCGAAGACGACGTTCTCGCCATGGACGGATGGTATCACCGCACCATGAATGCACTTTTAGATGCTGAGGACCAGTCAACACAACGATTCGGGAAGAAATTCTTGTATCTCCGCCTATTCTACACGGAAGCTTTTCTAGGCTGGAACTCGGAAGAATGGAAGACATATCTCTTCTATTCGCTCTGCTTCTCTAGCATGCCGGCAGCAGTTGTTTCTTTCTTGCGCGTTACAAAGTTTTTACCAAAGCCTCCGCTGCTACTCAAAACACACCTGCGGCCATCAGAGGGGCGCAGTGGATACAGCTTGCGTCGCCTAGTGGTCACATTATACGCCCTCATGGCGGTATTCATCCTGCTCTTCTTCGCACTGGGGCGCATGACTGTTCTACCTCTTCCAACCGGCGTTCATGAAATGCAGCGGTTCGGCTGCTGCAGTCAAGCTTTTGTCTTCCCCAGGCAGAAGGCTCTTGACCTAGTCTCATACTTTGCGGAAGTGAAGACTGGCTACATGGATGTTTTGACGGAGCGCTATGCCGATGCGAGAGGTGAGCTGCGGTATGCTATCACGCCCAGCCTTTTCCAACATGTTGGTAAAACGAGCAGCAAGATGAGTTCTCATGGGCCAATCATCAAGGGAAAGACGTGGAGCTTTGCCTTTGAAAGGTATAATGCAGACAAGTTGAGACAAGAGCACGAGGCGGTGGGAATGTGGAAAGATGGGTTGGACGAAGTATGATAGGTCGAGTTCGCAATGCGATGGATGCATGGTACTGCACTCTTTATGTATAATCTCTCTCGTATATAGTTGTAATGAATGAAATGCGCGCCCGTACTCTTGAATAATTAGATGCCTACTTAAAGTAAGATTTTATCAACAATTATATTGATTTCTTTTTTTTTGTTGAAGTGTCCTCCAGCGGATACAAAAGTAGCTACATTCCATCCGTACGGTAGCGCCAAGCTCATGACTTTGAGAATTTCACGTGAGCCATCTTGAAGATTTTAGTCCAGCAGGTTCTCAAGAACTTGCGACACACGGATTTATTACATTTGATTTGTCTGGAATGGTACATACGACCATTGGAAACTGAGAGCTAGCCATCCCGTCCGATCTGGCATATATAAGCAGTTTACCGGCGGATTAGTAGTTAGGTGGGTGACCACTAGCGAATCCCCGCTGTCGTATGTTTTCGCAAATCTTTTTTTGGTCGATTTGCGCATACCTTCTTCGTATTGCATTGCGGGCCGGAACGCTAGGCAATACAGCGATGGCCCTATTGTCGAGCCTGCCACCCTTGGTCATCAATGCGATTGCTTCTAAGACCTGACTGAATTCGCACTTAGCTAGGTGAAGCCTTTGAGACGAATAACACTTACAAACCTGGCCTTAATTCTTTGCTGCCGCTACCTTTCGTATACGTAATAGCCTAGAAAAGACTACAAGAAATCGAAACAGCGTAGTACATTTCTTGGATAGGAGTGTCAACCCCATTACACACTCGGGCCGATGAATGTAGTATACACGTAGTTGTAAGTACGTAGGTGGAACCCCACACTAGTTTGTTAGCGACCGGTTCTGACACACCCTGCTGCCTGATCCGGAAACCCAGGAACCCGGAACACTTCCGTCGGTCCAAACCTACCCATCACTATCTCCGCGCTCTCAATTCCCAAGAACTATTACACAATTATGCACAACTACGTGTGCGAGATCCCGAAATGCTCTCTAATATTTGCTTGTCATAGGCTGCCCTTGCCTTATCTCTTGTCCGCCCCGCCGTGCTCCACGTGCGGGATACGATAAGAAAACAGGATGGGTGGGTATGATAGGAAAGCAAGGTTGGGCGGTTCCAAGCCGCGGTACAATGGGGAATGCAGATAGTTAACTTGGAATGAAGAAGATTGGCGTTGGGTATGCTGCTAGCATGCACGAGTAAGTGTGGCCGTATATAATATGGAGGGTGCCAACGTAGATACCAAGGCGTGTGTATTACCGTCCCTATCTTGTATATCATGGGAATGATGGGTATAGTGAGAGCCCTGGCCGCCGTCTCATTGGTTGCAGCGAATGTCGAGGCAGCGAATGTCGAGGCTGCTTTGTCTTCTACGGGCTTCACGGTATCCCTATCGGACATTGACTATTTCCTACCCCCAAAGCCGGTGGCCAAAATATCTGGATGCGAGGAAATCCAGGCACTTTTCGAAGTTGCACCGTTTGTGCCATTTACGGTGGTCAAGGGCAATGGCTCGGTAGCGGATATCGCATCGCTAACGGCTGGTTATGCCGACGACGATGTGTGGCAGGAAGGCTTCATGCAAGGTACTTACTTCATAGAGCATTTGCAGCTTTGCAATTAACACATCATTCAGCAATCTATGCGCAGGTTAGCACTGTGAGAATCACAAACTCATCTATCCTCATACTATCTGGCAACGCCACGTCTCAATTGCCTGTCGGACCCTACTTCCTCAATGCCGCCGGTCAGGTCTTCGAAGCATGGAGGCTGTTTTCGGACGTGCAGGGTGCATTTACAGAGTCGGCAATTGGTAATAGAGACGGTTCATACTCGGTGCTGCCCGCTGGCACAGTTGGTCAACGTCAGGCAATTGCTGTGCCTTCTCGTCTGTACTTTACCAAGACTGCTGAAAAGCCATTGGCGGGTGTACGAATCGGTATAAAAGACATTTATGGTAAATTGAGACGACCAGGTAGTTGTTGCATATTGCTGACTTGACCAGATATCAGAGGTCTTCGCACTTCAAACGGCAATCGAGCGTGGTACTGGCTATATCCCCCAGCCGACGCCACTGCACCACCTGTGCAGAACTTGATTGATGCCGGAGCCGTTATTGTCGGCAAGATGATCACCTCTCAATTCGCCAATGGAGAGACTGCGACTGCTGACTGGGTAGACTACCATGCGTCGTTCAATCCTCGTGGAGATGGCTATCAAGACACATCTTCGAGCTCCGCTGGCGGTGGTGCTGGTACCGCATCGTACTCATGGTTAGATATCAGTCTGGGCTCAGATACTGGTGGAAGTGTGCGTGGCCCAGCCCAAGTTCAAGGTTTGTATGGCAACCGACCGTCACACGGCCTGGTCTCTTTGGATCATACAATGCCGCTCAGTCCTGTACTTGACACACCCGGTTTGCTCGCCCGCAATCCTCATATCTGGATGGAAGCTGCCAAAGTCATGTATGGTCCCAACATCACCATAACCGATAGCTACCCCAAGAGCATTCAGACGATTGGATGGCCTACGGAGGTAGAAGACGAGGCTGATCAGCTGCTTATCGACTTCTTGGGCAACGTTACCAAGTTTTTGAATGCGAATGCAACAGCATACAATCTGACAGCAGAATTCGATGATGCCAACCCAGATGTTGCACCGTTGGGAACGTTCATGAACCTCACGTACGCAATTCTCATCACCAAGCAACAAATTGAGCTGGTCCGCGAACCGTTCTATGCCGACTACGCAGCCAAACACGATGGGCGGCTTCCGTTCGTCAACCCTACACCGCTCGCTCGCTGGGGGTGGGGTGAGGAGCAGAACATGACTGTGGCCGAGGCCATTGCCGACAAGACCTTGTTCCAGAATTGGGCCAACGAGACTGTGCTTACTCCTTCGGTGGCGACATGTTCCAAGTCGCTCGTCATGTACGTTGGCTCGACTGGCAGCAGGACCTACCGCAACGCGTATCGGGGCGAGCCTCGCGTCCCGCTGGGTTTCAGCAACGGCCGGATTTCAGTCATGTCGGAAGTGCCCGACTATGTTGTGCCGCTGGGCGAGACGCCGTATGATTCATTGATTACCGGCCATGTAGAGTACCTGCCTGTCACGGCCAATCTGCTGGCGGCAAAGGGATGCGATGGCATGCTGTTCTCGCTCATCTCGGAGCTTTACGATGCGGGGATATTGAAGGAGAGCAAGGTCGGACAGAGCGGAGTGACTGGTGGGGAGATACTGTACCGAAGAGGGATGCCAGTGTATTGATAGCTGGGCCCTAATACATTATAGTTCTTGTGAATACCTTTGCGAGGATTGGTGTTGTGGTTGACCAATGAGGGCGTTCGGATGTGGGGGGAAGAAGAATAGGGTTGCTCAACGGAGTTCCGTGCAGGTACCTCCGCCATTGGCCAATCACAGCGCAGATAATGAGCTCCTTCAATCCGAATGGCGCCCACTGGCCAATGCGATTACAGACGCTGTTCCGCGCCTCTTCTTTGTGTGACGTCCGGACTTGGTGATGGTGACGACACAGCAAAATCACGAGTGAATTGGAATAGCATCGCTGTTGCAATGGGAGCACAATACGCACTCGATTCGGCTCTCCGCTGTGCTTTGCGGAAACAGACCGCCTGTTTGCAGCTTTGAAACTTCACGCCCACGGTCCGAGTAAGCTCAGCACATTGCTTTCTGCATCTCTCGCTTATCGATTGCCTGTATAAGTAAAGACGCCCACCCTCGGGTCACCTCTCACTGGAAAGCACCTGCATCGACATCTCTCCTACACGACCTTCGGCTTGCTTGTTAGAATCCCTCAACATGTCTCTCCCAGCCCACCCAGCATTCGTGCACTTTCCCATCACCACGACCCTCTTGACGGGTGCTCTGGATGCGTTTTACTTCTTTTACAAGTATCCAGCCACGTCTTCAACTGTGGCCTCCATCTGCAAGTAGCTTCAATCCCAGCCAGGGAACCTCGTGTACTGACAATTGCTCCTCAGACAAGACTCTTGACATCAAACTCGCCCCACAGCTGTTCCCCTTCTTCAGCTACTATCTCACCATCCTCACAATCGCCTTCTCCGTGCCCGCCGTCATGACTGGCGCCTCTCAATTGATGCCGCTTATCAAGCGCGACGGCCTCAACTCCCGCAAGGCCAAGATCGCCATAGCTCATGCTGCGATCAACGACGTTACCGTTGTCGCTGCAGCCCTCAACTGGTGGACGCGCCGAAGCCGCCCCATGTTCGAGCCCACCAGCACAAACATCCTCGCCAGCTGTGTGTTGGCACTTCCCGCCACCCTGTTTGCCGCCCATTTGGGTGGAAAGCTGGTCTACAACTACGGCATGGGCTTCACCGGTGCTCAGGCCAAGGCGAAGAAGTCACAATAGATATAAAAACATACTGTCAGGAAGCAACAATGGATGTTGGAAACGGTTGAAGAAGTGAGGCACAGCATGCTGAATTGCTAGAAATCTGCAGCATGAAAAGCTGCTTTGATGAAGAAATGAACATAGGACTAGTAGTTAAGTATACACCGAAAATTACATTATCTGAGCAACAGCTACAGCTCAAACTCCAATACATCATACTCCCCACTTCCCTGTGCACAACAATGCGTCCTTCCCCCTTGAAGCGTCTGTTCCAACAGGCGACTCATCTGTACCTGACTCAAAATCCGGCACCGCTGCAACTCAAGCAAGTCGCTCAGATGGCAGTGGAAGCACAGCGTCGTATCGTTCAAGAACGACTGTTTCCGAATAGCATCGCTGCTACTGCGCGCCACTGCCGGCGTCCGCAGCTCAGGTAAAAGAATAATCGCAAACCCCGAAATCAGCCACTTACCGCTCGCACTCAGACGCAGAATGAACGCATTATTTGCATCGGTAATACCCGAAAAAGTGCATATGCGATCTCCAGGTCGCACCTCATACGATCCAGGACCACCTCCACACGCAAGCCCAATGATGCCATTCGTACCCACAAACGACGTGTACCGCTCGTGCCGCTGATCCGTATCTCGTCGGCTCAGTCTGTGGCTTCTGGCCTCCATATACAGTTCTATAGCATCATTCGTCATGCTCCGCTTGATAATGTCACGCATAACTATACTCCCATCACCTGTCTCCGCCTCCCCCCACGGCTGCGCATCCCGAGCCGCAGTCGCGCGTATCAGCCCCGTGATAATCAGATCCGTCGACTCTTCAATAATGGACTGGCGCACCTTTTGCGATGGCCCGGGGTTGCCGTACGGCACGTATGGATCCGCAAAGCTGAGCAAGATGTCAGTCCCGTCTTTTGTGACGAGATCCCCGAGATCGAGGATGTCTTGGCTAGATAGCGATTTTGGGTGCATGTTTGAGCGCGTCCAGCCTGGGCTCCAGGTTTTTGGGAGAAAGGCCTCGTCGTGGTCGACGAAGTCGCCCACTTCGGTTATGGTGCTGACGAAGGATATGGAGGCTGTCATGCACGGTGTTGCTGTTAAGACGTAGACATGCGGCTGGACTTGGGGGCAAAGTTGTAGTACGTGTTGTGCGAGTTTTTCGGGTGAGACGTTGAGGGCTTGGGTGAGGAAGGCAAGGAATTTGTAGTCGTCTTTGTCGCCGCCTCGGTGGTCGCTGTTGCATTGGTTGCGGAGGACGTCGACGAGGAGCTCCACTGCTGATTTGCTGTAGTCGGGTAGAATCTTCTCCCCACGCCCCTTTGATGCTACACCCAGGAACCCGTAGACACGGTCATGTTCGACTGTGCTCTGGGATGAAGCAAACGCTTGTAGAAGGTCGCGCAGCCGGAACGTAGCTTTCAACGTCCGGCTGTTTCGGCGCCCCATGACTTCTCTCCTATACTGCTTCGAGTGCTTGAAATCCCGCCGGTACTTGAACAACAAGTACCCACGACTCGCATAGATCTGCCTTGCAGCAGATACAATCGGCTTGGCCGTCAATCCATCTTTCCAGATATTTTCAACGACTGCGGCGTCGACGCTGAAATCGCCACACCATATGTCGACGCGTTGCGCGAGTACAAACTCCTGGACTACCCATACACGGCCCCAGTACGGTTTTTCGAGTACGGTTGCTAGGGCGTGATGGAACTCCTCGACCCGTAGCAGATATGGATGTCGCGCAAGCATAAAGGCTAATTCTTCCGTTCCCGTGGCGAGGCCAAGCCACACAATGACGGATTCGGCGCCAGTGTATATATCGCGCATGAGAGAAACTTGGTGGTTGCGTTCTGCCATGTTGCTCTGGTCAATGACAATGGCATCAATCCACAGTGGCATGGGTTTACTTGGATCCTTTTCCGAGCTTTGTCGCAGATACTCTTTTTTGCGGTACTGTCTAAGAAAGTTCCACAAGCCCTCTCCGACTGTGAACTTTGATCCTCCGATTTCCATGATCTTTCTTTGACCGCCCTTGTCCCATGTGTATGACAGTGCAATAAACGCGGGCTTCTCGTCCAGGTCGCATGTTGAGAGTTTTGCTTGGATTGGCTCGTACTCTGGTGCAAGTACTATTTCCAGGAGTCTGATGGTCTTCTTGGTTGGGTCCAGGGGGCCATATTGCAGCGCGGGTAGCGCGTCTAGAGGGTCTTGGAGATCGGGTAAGGAAGTTACTGTGGGTATGACGGTTACACTTGATTTGCGTTTTGACATGGAAACTCGAAATGGGTCCACAAATGTTTTTCTGAGCAGACTCTGCTTCGGTCCCTCGGGTGTATCCATAGTCGTATATATCTTTTTAGGAGCAACTACGGGAAATGCGATGACTTGAAGATTTCTTGTCGGCACGGCTGAGGCAAGAGATATCGGGTGGCAAATCCTATCAGATCATTGTGGTATCTTGCTCTGAGGTTGGTGATGTCTTTGCCTGGCCTTAACTGCGAAAATATCTTGATGACGACACGTATTCTGCGACACGACTAATGGGAAACCCTTGTCCGTGCAGTTGGCATGGCGATATTGTTGGGCTCGGTTACAGCGCTAAGTAGTTGTGGGCAGAAGCCGTCACGCGCTTGGTGATTGTGTGAATCTGCTGCTACCAGCAGAGCAATACCTCTCGCTCCATGGCTTCCGGTGTTAAGCTTTGTATATCAAGTAGATAGGCAAGATTTTACTGCCCTGAAGAATAATCGATGTCGCGTTGACATGAGGTCATTAAAGAATCTTTTGGCCCCCACGATCGGTCACGTGACCGTATCGAGATCCTTCGAAGAGGCAGCGATCATAGTACGAGTTCCAGATCTGAGGTAGTGTAGCGAAAAGAAATAGCCCGTACTCTGAACTTAACTATTGCACGGGTATGTTGTTTCCCTAAAGCAATGTAGTCGACTTGCATATCACTTACTGCACATGCAGCTGCCTTTTCAAGCATTAGCCCATTTCATGGGAACGTATTTATAACTTTCTGACCTTTTTCCTTTAACAATGGTATCCATACTCGACCAAATGCGAGATAGTCGCTGTAAATCAAGCGGTGTTGCCTATCTTGGGTGATCTTGTGGTTATTCGAGTATGCGCATGCTGAGTACGTTCGTAGAAAGGACTTGCTTGCGTTGGCATGGTAGGCTCTCATACTCCAGGGGCACCTAGATTGGTGGCGTCATCTCATCTAATAAAGCTGTGCCGAGTGTTGGTTGCCTGGTGTGTAGGAAGCCAATTACCGAGAGTGTGCATTGAAAACACAGTTTATCGTATCATCCAGAGTACAGCCAGGCTTTACGTAACCTGAACGATCCGAAAACGAAACACTCTGAGAATTCCAATACATTTTATGCGGGGAATACAGTTTTGTTTACGCCTTATTTTGATTTGCAAAAGCTAGCTCAGGGTCCATAGTAGAGTGCTATTTTAGTGCCGTCACTAGAGCCATGGCCACTCAGAGATCGATCTTTGACTACACCTATCTTCATGTAAGTATGTCAAAGTTCGTTCTTCATCCTCAACTATCCCATCAGTACCTTTTACATAAGCTCTAGGTCTCAATGCCGAAAGTGCCCGCGTTTAGCCTAATTTCAAGGGGCGCCTTACCCGTGTACCGCGCTGATCATGCATGTCAGCCTCATACCCCCTCTTGTATGCACTCAATATTTCAACGTCCTATCATCGACGTTCGCCTGAGTTTATCTTGTGAAAGGCATGCTCGGATACTAGATATTTCTTATATGCTTGCTATCTGAAATGAATAGAATTCACGGTGTGCAAGATGTCTGGCCGCTTATTTCCTTTATAGACGTATATTGTTGTTACACCTCCTGGTTGCACCA